GTATGATCTCTAAAATTTAGAGTCTATGACCTGGACTTTGAGTGGAGGTAGTCATAAAACCATACTAATCCACCTTTGCTCTCTTCCAAATCACTGAGTGAAGTATATTCCCCAGGAATAAAGGCACTTTAAAAAGCCCAAACCCACAAGGACAGGGTGAGTGGGAAAGTTGACCAGAAAGCTGAAAGCCATGCGTACAAGTTGTAAATGATTTGGCAGACCTGAAAATTTAAAAAAGACATTTAAGCCAACAGTGGGGGAAAGCCTAGTCCCCCAAAGGCTCAGAAATTGGAGCCCCAAGTACCTCTGGGCATGTTGGGAGTGTTGGGATGAGGAAATGAGGTTGGATCCAACATCTGTGTATGAATTCGCCTGATCCCAGATTCTCTCCCACACTCCCGATGTTGGAGTGACTGCCTCTCTAGTCCACGCGAAAGATGGGTTATTCATTCTCTGGCTCGGATCAAGGAGAGAGCACCCAGGCTGGGGGACTCCTGGCATCCATGATAGTGCGGTGCTGAGCCGATGACAAGCGGAGTAAGAGTATGTGCATACCAGAGGCAAGGCCCCTCAGCTCCTGTCCCTCTGTGTTCAACCTCGATGCTGGCAGCTGGGCCTTTGCATGAAAAGCGATTCCCCGGGGTGGAGGGCACTCTGCCCAGTTCAAGAAGAAAGATCTAAAGTGAACTGAAGTCAGCTGGGAGGAGAACTGTGCTGTAAGACAGTCCAATCAGGTCACCAGGCATCACTCCTGGGAGCAGACTTCTTCTTCTTCTTCTTTTTTTTTTCCTATGGAAAAATTTATTGAAAAAGGAGAGTTCCAGGGAATATGCCTGCTTCATCTGAAGCGCTGCATCCAGCCCTGTTGCCTAAACCATCGATATACATAATCCCAAGATCCCTGATGTTTAGAAATCATGACCCCAAATCAAAAAAGAGTTAAATTATATCCAGTATACTGTGTCCAAACAAGAAAGTGTATTGTTGTAATTTAGAATGGTTCTCAACCAGCATTGAAATAGAAAAAAAGGGGTTTTCTGGCTTACCAGAAAACTATTCCCTGAGCATCCCAACTAACTGAGGTTGTTATAAAGAGACTGCTCTTTCTAGACAATCAAGCCTCGCACTACATAGCACATCATAGAACCAAAGGGAGCAGACTTCTGATCATCCCTTTTGTCCCTTCCTTTTAATTTTTAAGAACATTTATTTCCATTTTATTTGAAAGACAGAGAGAGACAGAGAGAGTGCTCCCATCTACTGGCTAACTCTCCAAATGCCCACTACAGCCAGGGCTGGGCCAGGCCGAAGCCAGCAGACTGGAACTCAGGCTGGGTTTCCCGTGTGGGTGGCAGGGACCCAGCCACTAAAGCCATCACCTGCTGCCTCCCAGGGTCTGCATTAGCAGGAAGCTGAGTCCTATGCAGAGGAGCTGGGATTCTAACAAGGCACTCTGATACACGATGTAGACGTCCCAGACAGCAACTCAGCCACTGTGCCAAACTCTGAACCCTGTCCCTTACTTTTAAAGGTGTAAAAACAAAAAGATATCTGGGGGAAAAAATCTCAGATGAGAGTAAAACAGAAAAAAGCAATTTGGAGGAAACAGACTAAGCAGAGAGTGGAAAACTTCAAATCAGTAGTATGTGGGGAGGAAGTGATGTAAGGGGATGATGGGAAGACAGTGCAACCAGCAAACAAGTCAGAGAACATAAAAGAGCTCTGTGTAATTAAACCTATTATAATAGACATTAAGAATTCAATAGAGAGGCTGACACTTGTGGCGTAGCAGGTAAAGCTGCCGCCGGCAACATCGGCATCCCATATGGGCGCCAGTTCAAGTCCCAGCTACTCCACTTCCAATCCAGCTCTCCGCTATGGCCTGAGAAAACAGTGGAGGATGGCCCAAATTCTTGGGCCCCCAGCACCCTTGTGGGAGACCTGGAAGAAGCTTTGGATCCTGGCTCCTGGCTTTGGATCAGCGCAGTTCCGGCCATTGGGGCCATTTGGAGAGTGAACCAGCAGATGGAAGACTTCTCTCTCTCTGCCTCTGCCTCTCTGTAACTCTGCCTTTCATATAAATAAATAAATCTTAAAAAAAATTAGTGGGTTGTAGTTGCACAAACCAATTTCTGGGGTTTCTATTCTGTTCCATTGGTCTACATGTCTATTTTTTGTGCAAGTACCAGTTTTTTAATTTATTTATTTGAAAGGCAGAGTAAGAGAGAGAGAGAGAGGGAGAGAGAGAAATAGATCTTCAATCTGCTGGTTCATTCACCAAATGACTATAACAGCCAGGGCTGGGCCAGGCCGAAGCCAGGAGCCAGGAGCCAGGAGCTTCTTCTAGATCTCCCACAAGGTTGCAAAGGGCCATCCTCTGCTGCTTTTCCAGGCACAGAAGCAGGGAGCTGGATCGGAAGTGGAGCAGCTGGGACTCAGCGGTTTCTAAGAAAATTCTAAAGGCATAACTTGAGATTATACATTTAGGCAGAACACTATAATTAGAATTGTCCCCGGATTTAAATGTTAATCCTGCTACAACTTTGACTTTCAGAAAATAGCCTTAAATGGACATCTTCACCTAATATTTAACTGACTATAATGGACTCATGCATCCACGTGGGATTGTGAACACTCGAGAGGAAGAATCATGGTTTATTTACCTTTTAATGCTGAGGCCCTAGGACAGAGGCTGAAGTATGAATGCTCAATGCTGAAGTATTATTACAATACAAAAGTGGAAGATTTTAATAGGATTTAATGCTCTTTGGAGGCTTTGGGAGGGCACCAGAAATGAACTGAAAACATACGCATGGCAGGGCTGGGGAACTCCAAGTACCAACTGGAAGGGTGGATGATCTTTAGATGACTATCATTGATTCTTTAGGCTCCTGGCCAAGTTCTACCACAGCTAGTTGAACCAGTTTGAGTGGGAGTTGATACTGCAGATCAGACTTCTGATTCCTGCCTCCCTCCCCACAAAGTGCAAGAAATCCAACTAAATTTGAATTTCAGATTAACAAATAATTTTAGTGACGTCTCCAGTGTTTGATATTATAACTCATTGGTTGTTTATCTGAAATCCAAAGTTCCAATTTTTATGAACTTTTTTGGTGTGTATTTGTTGCATCTGGCAACCCTATCAGAGTGGTGAGCATTAACACGATTCTACTGTGGCACCCATAATGACAAACAAAACGCCACCACGACCCTGGCTTTCTATAGCCTTCTCATCCAAATGTCTCTCCAATGGAAAGCGGGCATGGAGAGCAGATTTCCAGAAAAGAGACGCTGTAACTAGGCAACCAAAATGCGAACCCACCAGACCTTCCGCAACGTCCAAGAGACATGCGCGAGGGCGCGCTGACGTTAACATCCCGCGCTGAAGGGTGGGGCGACAGAGCGTCCTTACCGCACGTGATTCCAGTGCCTTTTTATGATTGGCTGCCTCGGGGGCGCGGCGCTCGGGCGCGGATGCCCTGGATTGGTGCCTCGGCTCCGCCGGGTGGAACTCTGGCTGCAGCCGCGGGAGGTCCGGACACCGGCGGCCATGGGACTTGCCGGTAAGTACGCTCTGGCCTCTCTTCTGTTGCCGCTTCCGGACCGAGCCGTGCTGTCCCTGTGGGAGCGTGGCAAGCGGAGGAGCGGGCGACGCTGACCCGGCTCGTGGCCCTGAAGTCGGGCTGGAGGCTCTCCGAAGTCGAGTGGGGTTGAGGGTGCCTGTGGGCAGCTGCTCTGGAGTCGCGGGTTTCTTGGCTGAAGCGGGTGGGGCCGGGGGCCGGGGGCTCCGGGACTGCGGGCTTCGGCCCCCGCCCACTTTCCGGCTGTTTTCCTCTTCCCCTTGAACCTGGCGCGACCCTGCCTGACCCCGGCGGCGTCGCTGAATGGCCGGGTCGTCCTCTCTTTAGCCCTGTCGCTTCCCAGCCACCTCTCGGAAAGTGAAGGCTGGGCGGTGCCTGGGAGTTCCCCTGGAAGTACCGTCCTGTGGACCCTCAGCCCCCGCCAGGTCTCCCTAAGGCTGCCTCTCACTGCTGGTGCCTGGGACTTTGTGGCCAAGGGGGTGAATTCTACAGTCGCCTCGAATTTGCCACCGAAGTGGCTGGGTGGGGACTTTAGATGGGCCACTCAACTTGTCTGGCTTTTCATTTCTAAAGTGAGGGAGGTACTCGCTAGTTCTTTAAGCCTCTCTTAAGCTTTAAAATCAGATTCTGTGGTTGTGCTATATATTGAGTTTTTACGACATAAGGGTATTAGGAGCGATAACCTGGGTGACGTAGGCAGGTGTGTCACAGAACATCGCAGGTTAATGACAAAATCTTTGGTTCATTACTCACTATTTTTGTTATCGTTCCTCTTTTAAAAACTGGATAGAACTGATCGGGTTTAGATAACAAGCCACAGTAAGACAATGTTAAGATACTTAAAAGTGCAGACTTGAGGTGTTTCAATGTTTGGTAATATGGACTCTTAGTAAATTCAGTTCAACAAACACGGAGTTTTTTTGAGAGTGTATTTAAAACGTAGACGAATTTGTTGGAGAGAATAGGTAAGGCTTAGCACACACAATTAATTTGAATTTTCTGAGTTTGCAGGTGAAATCTGGAACTCTGAGCTTTAGGATGGCTTCCCATTGTATGGTAGAGTTTCTGCAGCCTTGGAAATCTCATTTGTAAAGCTAAGGAATATTTTCCCCAGATCTGCAAGACTCTAGCTTTAAAAGTCTAAGAATCTGTAATGGTACTGACTAGTAAGTGAGCATTTCGCATTGTTATGACTTTAGAGATCCCCTCAGATAAATAGGTCTCGAGATATAGAAAATGGCCCTAGATCCAGCTCATCTCTAGTTTACCTTTATCTTCAGACTCCACACTGAAGGAGGGCTGCGTGTGGAAGAAAGGCCTGTGTTAACAGAAGGAAAGGTGAAGCAAGAAGTAAAAGGAGCAGTTTATTGCCGTCCTTGAATAAGGAAGGAGAAAATGGATTGCCTGCAGCAGGTGCTCTGGATAAGACAGTGTATTTTAGCATAAACTGCAGAACTAGTACTGGGAGGCCTTCAGGAGATTAACTGAATCAGTGACTAAGCTCTAGAGCAGAGGTCAGCAAACTTTTTGTAGAGAGCTGGAGGGTAAATATTTTAGGCTCTGTGGGTCATGTGGCCTCTGTGGCAGCCACTCTACTGGTGTAACACGAAAGTAGCAATTCACATAAATGAATGAGTAAGCCTGTGTTCCTGTAGAACTATTAAAAAATCAGGCAGTGGACCAGTATAGCTAGATTAGAATCCTGGCCCGTTTCAGTTATCCTGTATAATAAATCACTCCAAAGCTTGATGATGCCTTTGTTGTTTTGCATCGTTCTGTCATCTGCTAGGCTCAGCTGGCACTTCTGCTGCTGGTCTTGCCTGCTGTCACTAGGGAGGCTGTGTTAAGTTGGCTAGCTAGCTAGAAACTAGACCCAAGGAAGAACCTAGGGATAGCTGGGCCTCTGACTCTCTGTGTGTAGTCTCAGAGCTCCTGCCCTCCACCTTGTCTACCCACCCCTATCCCTCTAACCTAGTAGCTGGACTTACGTGATAGATTAGGGTATCCAAGAGTGCACAAGTGGAAGCCACAGATGTTTTGCAAGTTGTAAAATATTTGTACATCATTTCCATCCGGTCCTATGGGTTAGACCAGGACCAAATGCAAGAGAGGGGCATGATCACCAATGAAACAGACTGGTACATTGCTACCTCTAAGTAGCTGAGTGATTGTGGATGGGTTCCTTAACCTCTTTAAGTTTTAGACTTTGTATTTGTAAGGTAGAGTTGATGACTTATAGGATTTTGATAAGGCTACAGTAAGATATAGAAAGCCTTTTTTTCAAAAAATTTATTTGTTTATTTATTTATTTGAAAGGCAGAATTACAGAGAGGCAGAGGTAGAGAGAGAGAGGTGTCTTCCATCCACTGGTTCACTCGCCAGATGGCCAGAATGGCCAGAGCTATGCCGACCCAAAGCCAGCAGCCAGGCGCTTCTTCCGGGTCCCCCACATGGGTGCAGGGGCCCAAGGACTCGGGCCGTCCTCTGCTGCTTTCCCAGGCCATAGCAGAGAGCTGGATTAGAAGTGGAGCAGCCAGGACTTGAACCGGTGCCCATATGGGATGCTGGTGCTGCAGGTGGCTGCTTTACTGGCTATACCACAGTGCCGGCCCTGATACAGAAAACTCTTAGCACATAGTACCCGATACATAGAGGCCACTCAATAAGCAGAAGCTGGTAAAGTGATAAAAAAACATAGAGGAGAAATGCATATATGGGTATATTTATGTGTATATGTCTGTATATTTAATTATTTGAAAAGAACTGGTTTGTTAGCATGACAAACTGTCTTGTGCTGTGGTGTAACAGACTTATTCAAAATTATGTGTAGCAGTATTTTTGGAGCAAAATTAAGACATGACCGAATCTAATTTTGCTTTCTGACACATAGTAAGTGATAAGTAAATATTGCTAAATGAGTAAATTGATTATATGCTTTTTTGTTTCTGGGAAGAAAGCTCAAAATTTAACATAAATATGCAAACAGTCTATCAGGATTTGGAATATGGAATGTGTTTTGTCTCTGAGCTGAGATCCTGTTTTGCTCTCTCTTTCAGGTGATAGAGGACATATATCTTAACTGGGTTGCTCTAAGAACTGATGCGTAAACCATCTCAGCATGGCCTGTAGAGGAAGAGGTGGGCCTGGCCAGCCTCCCTCAGCTGCACTCTCCCCCGTTAGCCCTGGAAGTCTTTCCGCCTCTAGAACCAGTGCTCATAACATATGCATGGTGTCTGACTTTTTCTACCCAAATATGGGAGGTGTGGAAAGTCACATTTACCAGCTCTCTCAGTGCCTGATTGAAAGAGGGCACAAGGTCATAGTTGTTACCCATGCGTATGGAACTCGGAAAGGCATCCGTTACCTCACTAATGGCCTCAAAGTCTATTACTTGCCTCTGAAAGTCATGTACAACCAATCTACAGCCACGACCCTCTTTCACAGTCTGCCATTGCTCAGGTACATATTTGTTCGGGAGAGAGTCACGATAATCCATTCACATAGTTCTTTTTCTGCCATGGCCCATGATGCTCTCTTCCACGCCAAGACAATGGGGCTCCAGACAGTCTTCACGGACCATTCCCTTTTTGGATTTGCTGATGTCAGCTCGGTGCTTACAAACAAGCTTCTAACTGTGTCTCTTTGTGACACAAACCACATCATTTGTGTCTCCTTTACTAGTAAGGAAAATACTGTGCTAAGAGCAGCACTGAATCCTGAAATAGTATCCGTCATTCCTAATGCGGTAGATCCTACTGACTTCACTCCAGACCCATTTAGAAGGCATGATAGTATAATAACTGTTATTGTTGTCAGCAGACTTGTTTACAGAAAAGGTAATGAAATGATAGCTATAATTGCGGACTTATTTTTTCTTGTGGAAAGCTGTTGAATACTTGTATATAATGATTGTTTGGCTTTTAATTTTGTCTTATGCTTTTATAACTATTTCTGCATTAAGTGTAGCAAAGAAAGTCTAATGTTGGTGTGTATATGCAAGAAGAGAAATTTTTAGAATGATGGTGAATGCTGCCCCCCCATCTTCGATGTTTTGATGGTTACAAAAACGTAAGACAATGACCTGATTGTGTTTAATCCATCAGGTCTTTTTAAAAGTTAAAATGGCCCTGCATATGTGGTAAGAAGTCAGGAGTAGAGCCCACCACGTGGTGTTTTCTTTCTGATTGCAAATGTAATATCTTTTCATTGCAGAGGTTTTGAAAATCAGAAAAGTGCAAAGCTGAAAACTAAAGTCATCTGTAACTGTGTTATTCCAAGGTGACCCTGATGAATATTTTGATTTCTCACTTCCCTTTTTATGCATACATATGCTCAAAATCAGTGGGTTTGTTTCGTACATTACTGTTTTGTAGGTTGTTTCATTTAATCATAAAAGACATTAATAACATATTGGCAGGTAAGTGCTGAAAAAAAGGCTCTATCCCCTTGTATGATACAGGACAACAAGTTACTTCATATCTCTGCATTTCCGGGTTTTCAGCTGTGTAACTTAGGAACAATGTGTACCTGGTGAGGGCCCACTGATGGCTGAATGGCCTCCGTCACACTGCATGGACATCAGTGGAGTTTGTGGAGGCTTATTTACTAAAAGGCATCTGGTTATTGAGAATATATGAATGGTCTTCTGAATGCTATTTGAAAACTTTTATAATAATACAAAATGTCATCTCAAGTAGGGAATCATTTAAAAAAATTTCAGAACCCCTTAAGTGATTTGAATTTAACTCCAGGTATCATTAATGCACACTGAATTGCCGGTGGTTTGAGATAGGGCTGCAGGCTTCACATATCCAGTCACTAATTTCAGCCACATCCTCTACCATTGCCCTTTTGGTTTTTTAAAGGGAAAGGGGGGTGGGAACCTAAAAGTTGATGCAATAGTGTGCTCCTGGATTTTTAACTTGCTTTCAGTTGTGTGTGGTGGTTTAAAATTCCCCTTACCTGACCAGAACTTTTTTCCTGTGTCTTTATTGAAGTTTTCAAACCATTCAGCTTAATTTTTGTAGAAACTCATTGTCAGTTTATGTGATATTTAATAAAATTACCTAATACGGTGACAGAGACAAGTGGCACCAAATGGATTTGAGAACAGGGGCAAACTGAATCTTGATAAGCACGAAGCTCAATGGTGTGCTAGTGAGTGACCCCCAATCTGGGTAAGAGCCTTGGTCAGAGAGTTTACATTTGGGATGGAAAGCCTTGGTTGACCAAGGAGTCCGTTCAGCGGAGGTTAGGGCAAGGACTTCGACTGAACTGCATTTTCTGAGAAGGCGGTGACGTGCTTCCGTTTAGTCAAGATGTGAATGGACCAGCAAACTGAATTCTGAATCCCTCTTGGAGTACTGATGATACATTTGTTGTATCCTAGAAAATGTGCTCATTTATTTTTTAATCAAATAACACACTTTGTGAGATAGCTAACTAAGAAAGATTATGATGTGCGTGATTGAGGATCAGCAAAATTAACTCCTTATATAAAGTGGTACCTTTCCTTCACCAGTGTGATATTTTAACCAGCTGAGCTAACCACCAAAGATGGTTTGAGCCTTTCCTGTTCTCAGTTCAATACTCAACATGTATTTGTGGATCCCTCACTATGCTGGGCACCCCTGTAAAAAGTATCAAATGAATAGTTGTATTAATAGTCCGTTCCTTATTAACAAACATCACTTTTCAGGAGGTGTTCATTGGACCAGATATCCAAAGCTCACTGGAATGGATTAAGTAAGAGAAAACAAATTCAGATTCTCCTTGCCCAGGTGTCCCGGCTGACTGCTTCCGAGTCCCCATCTCCCCAGCCTTTTGTGCCCTCAGTCAGGGTTCCCAGTGCTCTGTGCTTGTGCACGCACTCCCCGCTTCTTGCTCTAGTGGTAATGACAACTCACATTTGTATTCTGCAGTTGATAAAACCTGTGCATGGTACAGTACCTCACTTGACCCTCCTAACAGCTATAGGGTAGATGTTACCTGCATGTAACAGACAAAGAAATTGAGTCTCAGGGTAAGTAACTTGCCGGGGTTACACAGTAAGTAATACAGATAACAAACACGAGTCCAGATGTTCTTTAGTTAAGGTCTGCCATTCCTCCAGCCCCGGGCTGCCCACTGTTATGCTAGTTGTAGATGAGAAGACTCCTTAAAATGCTGATAGAGTGAGCTTTAAAAGCAATTTGAAACAGGGATTGTCCTTGTCCATGTTGTGTGAATGTGGCAGTTGAAATCCCCTTGGCATGCTCCGTGTGTCAGACTCTTCCTAGACACACCAGAATAATTTTCTTTTTATGGTGGAGTGGGAAACCCTGTATTCTTTGAATACTGAATTTTAATCAGTTCTATTTCTTCTAAGGTGGTTGTCAGGATTAAGTGGCACAGTGCTTGTAAAGACATTGCCTAACATAGTAAGCATTCAGTAATGTTAGCTGTCATTAGCAGTCAGGATTATTGATCTGTGGGGGTGTTTTTATTTGAAGAACAGACTGCATTAGAAAGGGGGAAAGTTGGGAGGGGGAGGCAAGAAAGAACATGAAGGAATTGTAGGAGGCTAAATGTTAAAAGTCCATTAAGCCACTTTGTGGTTTATCTGTAGATTAAATCCAATCTGTAGATTTGGTAATAAGACTCAAAACTAAGATTTTAATGAGAAGCCTCATAAGAAAAATTGCATGTGAATTTATTTTTAGTACATGCAATCATATTTTGAAAATACCAACAACAAAAGCTGTTTATAAAAATGACCACATATATGTATGATTTCTCTTTTAGCATCTGTTTTATAATTGATCTGCCTATTTTGGGGACAATTGATATAAGAAATGCAGTTTGTGTATGTGTATTTTTTAAATTAATAAACTTAGATCTAGATGGATGATTAAACACTTTTAGTTTTGAATATGTATGATTTATAATTATTAATGAACTGAATTCTCAAATGTTCCTATTGCTGTCACTTTGGATAGCCACTAGACTAGTAGGGCATGATTATTGCTTTATATTACCTGAGGTATTTCCATATTATAAGAAAATAGGTTTATTCATTATTAAAGATTTGTTTATTTGACAGGCAGAGCAACAGAGAGACAGATCGATCTTCCATCTGCTGGTCTACTCCCCAGGTGGCCAGAGCTGGGCCAGGCCGAAGCCAGGAGCCAGGAACTCCATCCAGGTCTCCCACGTGGGTGGCAGGGGCCCACACACTTGGGCCACCTTCCTCTGCCTTCCTAGGCACATTGACAGGAAACCGGATTGGAAGCAGAGTAGCTGGGTCTCAAACCTGCCTGCCCTCCAGTGTGGGATGCCAGCATCACAAGTGGCAGTTTAACTTGGTGTGCCGCAATGCCACCCCTATTTATTTATTTAGACAGGCAGAGTTAGACAGTGAAAGAGAGAGACGGAGAGAAAGGTCTTCTTTCCGTTGGTTTACCCCCCAAATGGCCGTTATGGCCGGTGCGCTGCACCAATCCAAAGCCAGGAGCAAGATGCTTCCTCCTGGTCTCCCATGCGAGCGCAGGGCCCAAGCACTTGGGCCATCCTCCACTGCCCTCCCAGGCCACAGCAGAGAGCTGGCCTGGAAGAGGAGCACCCGGGACTAGAACCCGGTGCCCATATGGGATGTCGGCGCCGCAGACGGAAGATTAATCAAGTGAGCCATGGTGCCGGCCCCACCCCTATTTATTTTCTAAAGAAGGAACCAAGGTGTGTCCTCTTAACATACTCTCAGAGTTGTGGTTCGGTTACTTTCATTTAATTCCAGTCAGAAGAAATGTGCTATAGCTGGTTTGGATGGTCTGGTCTTTCACATTTTGCTTATACTGTAGTGTTCATTGCAAAATTCTCTGTACAAACTGTATTTTGAGTAAAGCTGAGGCAAAGGTTAGAGTGTTGCTTAGTCCTTTGCTATGGCAGGAAGTGGGATCATAGAGGGATAGATTTTTTTTTTGACAGGCAGAGTGGACAGTGAGAGAGAGAGAGAGAGAGAGAGAGAGAAAGGTCTTCCTTTTGCCGTTGGTTCACCCTCCAGTGGCCGCCATGGCCGGCGCACTGCGCTGATCCGATGGCAGGAGCCAGGTGCTTCTCCTGGTCTCCCATGGGGTGCAGGGCCCAAGCACTTGGGCCATCCTCCACTGCACTCCCTGGCCACAGCAGAGAGCTGGCCTGGAAGAGGAGCAACCGGGACAGAATCCGGTGCCCTGACCGGGACTAGAACCCGGTGTGCCGGCGCCGCAAGGCGGAGGATTAGCCTAGTGAGCCGCGGCGCTGGCCAGGGATAGATTTTTATAGTGGAAAGAGACCTTGGACCTTAGGTGAATTTGTCAGTTCATTTTATAGAATGGGAGACTGCGTTGACCAAAGGGCTCACAATGTTAACGAGCTGGGCTTCCCTTCAGCTGGGCTGCTCTGGAGCAAGCTCAGGCAGTCTGTAGCCACCTTAAGTGTCCTTTAGAAGCAGGGGTGTGTAAAGAGGCGTTTGTTCAGATGAAACAAAACTGTCCATATTTTGGGTGTGTGGAAGGTAACCATGTGTGTCAAGGTCTGTATCTTCAAGAACTGAAACTCTTAAGAGAGCACTGGCAGTTTGTGAAGAATTCCACCCTCCTGGCGAAGGTTGAAGAGTTAGTTTCTCCACTTGAAGGAGGGTGTAGCTAATACTTTTCAAAGTGATTGGATTCTCAGTAGTTCTGATGATTTTTTTTTAATATCTCCAACATTCAACTTTATATTTTCAGGGACCGATTTGCTTAGTGGTATAATACCTGAACTCTGTCAGAAATATCCAGATTTACATTTCATAATTGGAGGAGAGGGACCAAAGAGAATTATTTTGGAAGAAGTGCGGGAAAGATACCAGCTACATGACAGGTACTGATGGATTGCATGTTGTTTTGGGTGAAGATTATTTAAATTTGGGTTTGCCTATGTCTGCCTTAGGTTTGCTATGTCTCTTACTCATAATTGGTATACGATGTAGCCCAAGGCCTGAATTTCAAAAATTTGGGAAAACCTAGTTAAAGGATTCACAGTTTTTCTTCTTGAGCACAATATTACTTGACTTGGGGGCTGGTTGTTGGAGGCACCATGGAAGGCACAAAAAACCTACCCACTTTGTACATTTGCAGATTTGTTGTGAATTAAATAATGTAACTCAAACCATGTAAATTGCTTTGCGCATACAGGTTCAGACAGATCTTTTCCTCAATATGATAACACATGAGCTGTAATGTGAGTGAAGTATCAATTTTCAAAGGGCCATTCATTTGCTGTTTAGAATTGAGATACTTTAACATTTTGTCATAGAGTGTGTAGTAGTCATGCAAACCAATTTTAAGAGAAGAAGGAATATGATATGTGTGACAAAAGTTAGAAACATGTTAGTCTGAGTTTTAATAGCATTTGAAGTTGTTTCTTTCAGATCAGTGTTTTACGATCCTAATCTTTTGAGATGGAAAACATTATTATTGGCAGGAATGTAAATAGCAGATTTGGCTTCTAAATTAGGTCTCTTACAGCATGATTTTTCACTCCTTTCTTTCTTCCCCTCTCATTTAAAAAATCAGGGTACGTCTTTTGGGAGCCTTAGAACACAAGGATGTTAGAAATGTGTTAGTTCAAGGACATATTTTTCTTAATACCTCCCTTACGGAAGCATTCTGCATGGCGATCGTGGAAGCAGCCAGTTGTGGTTTACAGGTAAAACATTGTTGAGGGCTTGCAACGTTGGGGTTTCTGTATTTGTATTTTGGCAATTAATGTTTGTTGATAATTTTTTTAAAGATTTATGTATTTATTTGAAAGGCAGAGTTACAGAGAGGCAGAGAGAGAGCGAGCTTCCATCTGCTGGTTCACTCCTCAAATGGCTGCAATGGCCAGATCTGGGCCAATCCAAAGCCAGGAGCCTCCTTCGGGTCTCCCACGTGGGTGCAGGGTCCAAGGACTTGGGCCATCCTCTGCTGCTTTCTCAGGCACATTAGCAGGGAGCTGGATCGGAAGTGGAACAGTTGGGACTTGAACCAGCACCCATATGGGATGCCAGCACTGCAGGCAGTAGCTTCACCCACTACACCACAGAGCTGGCCCTGTTGATAATTTTTTTACTTGACTATTTTCCTGAGATAGGATTATGTTGGGTCATGTGTTCTTTTTTTTCTTTTTCAGGTTGTAAGTACCAGGGTTGGTGGAATTCCTGAGGTACTTCCAGAAAGTCTTATTATTTTATGTGAGCCTTCAGTAAAATCCTTGTGCGAAGGTTTGGAAAAAGCTATTTTCCAACTGAGGTCGGGGATGTTGCCAGCTCCAGAAGATATCCACAACATAGTAAAGACTTTCTATACCTGGAGGAATGTGGCAGAGAGAACTGAAAAAGTACGTCATGTGCCGGCACAGTGAACTTGGGATATTCACGTGCATGTTTGCTCTTTCTCTCATACAAGTTTACCATTTCTGCTTTTGCCTAAATTTATGAATTCTCTTTCACAGGAAAAGAAACAAACTGTATTACTTAAGGTACACACGCTAGGCTAAGTTTCTAGTCAAGTCATTGCATTTGATATCTAAAAATGGCATTAAAGCAATCTTAGTCCCCTCATTAAGCTGAGTATAAGATGATGGTCCCAGCAATTAGAGGCAAAACTAGTATTAAAATCTACTCTCAGAGATTTTCTTGAGGCTCTTTATCATTCTACAGCATATAGACCTGTTAACAGATACATGCTTTCCCCATCATAGCAACTGTTTAACTCATAAATATCTAATAAGGCAATTTCCTAAACCTCTGGCTGTACTTGTGCTAACTACTGTGATTTTCTGCAGGAAAAGGAATTTTTGCATCTTTGGGCTGATTGAGAACCTAATAAGTTAGAATTCAAAACATACATGAAAACTTAGAAAAATAATCATAAATAAAAAGCAGCAATTGAGAATTTTTAAAAGGACAGGGACAGGCGATAGATTGACACCGCTAGATAGGAGTATAGTTGTAGGCATGCCTCTTGATTTCGACATAGGGACTTCGTTCGTTCTTCTCGGCTTTGTCCCATAAGTCCTCCCTGTGACCTCCTCTGCCTTATGCCTTGATTCGCCTTCTTAGTATGCAAAAATCATGAACCAGAAAGAAAGCCAAGTGGGACACAGAGAAGGTAGTAGTTTAGTGCTTTGTAGTATCAACGTATTCAGTGGAGTAATGAATTTCTAGCCTAGAATGGATAGCAAGGTAGAGCTGAGGAAAGAATAGCTCTCTTGTAAGGCTTTCTTATTTACTATAAATTTGAGTTTCAGCACATAAGATGAGCCTGTCTTTTGAATATAAGTTCTAAAAATGATCATATGTAATACATTCTCTGTTGAAATATGAGATATTTGAAATAGCCAAACATTATTTACTTGAGAGAAAGGGGAGAGCTCCCAGCTGCTGGGGCCAGTGTGTGAAAGTAGGAGCCCAGGTATCCCAAGTGGATAGCAGGAACCCACCCTCGTCAGCCATCACTGATGGCTCTCAGGCTCTGCCCTGGCAGGAAGCTGGAGTCAGAAGCCGAAGGTGGGAAATAAACCCAATCACTGCCTTATAGGATGTAGGCATCTCAACTGCGAGGCTAAATCCATGCTTTCCAGTCAATTATTTTTGAATGAAGTATCTCTGAGACATGCTGACCTTCTAGAAGGGTTGCTGTAGCTCCATGCATATGAAGTAGCTGCCTTCTCCTTTGGAAATGGGAGTCTAGCACTGATGACCTGTGAGATTGCATGTCAGGGTTGCCAGGTAGCCTTTGTAGGGCTCATGGCTTCCTGCCTCCTTAACTACTGCCTAGATTCTACTGTGATGCTTGAGGGCAGAAATGGAACTTGGAGTATGATTGACCAGGATAGTTGCCTAGGAGGGTTTTGTTGTGTGATACCTTGCTGATCTCCATCCTGGTTGAGAGCTACAGCTGTGTAAGTTGTGACTTGACCTTCTTGGCTGATGTCATATAAACTTCCAAAGTCTGAGCTGTTGTAGGTAATTAGTTTAGAGGAAAAAGACCCTGGTGGCAGGGTTACAGGAGTTAACCAGGATTTCTTTTTGTAACCACACATTTTCTTTTAGCTATGCTTAAAATAATAGTAAAACATCTGCATTTCTTATGGTTTTATAATCTCTGGTAATTTATAGTATATGTTTAGAAAAAAAGTTAATCCTTGTTAATAGCTCATTGTCATCCCTAACAGTCTCTCCATAGTAATTATTTATATCACTTAAGATAATTAATTAATTGATCTGAAATAAAATTGAACAAGCAGATCAGTTTGTAGTTGCTCTTTGTACTCTGGAACGTTTTGATCCTTTTCAGCTCTTTTTAGTTTAACTGTGTTATTTAGAAAAGTAATCGCAAATTAAATTGACATTCATGCTGTAAACATGCTTTTTCAATTACAGTTTGCCAGTATCAACATATTCTGAAGTTATTGTATTCAAAATGTCCCCAGGGCAGAAGAGCTAGATGAAAATATCCCATACCTTTGAAAGGCCATGGACCTTCAGAACTTGCCACTGCATGTTTTCACTTTCTTGAGTTCATAAGGAAATGATTTTACAGGTCTGATATGAGACTGAGCACAAGTAAAGCTCAAATGTTATTAAAAAACATGAGCACTGGCCCATTAGATGTATTCTTTGTTTTTTAATGTTTCTGAGTTTAATACTCAGGAATGGTTAAAAAGCAAGCTATCTACTACTGAGTCTGAACAGTAAACCTAATTTCATTGGCCAATGTTCAACCTGTACCATCTACAAGAGCTTAGCCCATCTTCCTCACCTTTTATTGGCAGTCCATGAAATGTCTCCATATCCTCGCCAGCCTCACCCAGTTGTTGGAAGAAGAGCCTGTGTCTCCAGAAGCCCCCTAGAGTGTAGCACTCTGGTTGTGTTTGATGTCTGCCCAATGCCAGTGAGAGTTGTTTCAGGCCAGTCGGGGCATCTGAAGAGGCCAGTCCTACCTTAGCAGCACTGAAGTCACTGCTGAACAGAATGGCGCCCCCATAGTGGTGACTGCAGAAGCTGTTGAGACGTCTTAGCACTTTAGAATTCTGACCAGTGGCTTATTCTTGGTATCACGCAGTGTAGGCCAGAGGAAGTGCCCAAGAAGCCTTGGATCAAATGGCAATAATTATTGTGATGAAGTTCCTTACAGGCATCGTTACTATCACAGCAACAAAACTTGAGCAGCTCGATTGCTTTCGTTTCTGAGACATGGCGGGTCAGCGTGGGTTGTCCGTGCCCGTGGGCCGTCTGCTGGGTTAGAGTGCTCATTCTCGGCCTTCTCTCCTTCCAGGTCTATGACCGCGTGGCTGAGGAGGCTGTGTTGCCAATGGACCAACGACTGGACAGGCTCATCTCTCACTGTGGCCCAGTGACAGGCTACATTTTTGCTTTGTTGGCTGTGTTCAACTTTCTCTTCCTTGTTTTGCTGAGATGGATAATTCCAGATTCCATCATTGATGTTGCAGTAGATGCCACTGGGCCAAGGGGCACCTGGACGCATCAGCATCCTCACAGTGAAGACAAGGTTGAGGATAGTGGAAAGTGTAAAACCAGGTAGAAGAGAGCCTGGCTTGTAAGATTTAAATGTTTTGTAATAGTTCTATGAAGATTATATTGAAAATGACCTTGCTTTTTTTTTTGAAAGTTAATTTAGTAAGTTATGCTACCTCTATATCATTCAGTGTTTTATTTTGAGGAAAGATAGAAACTTATGCAATTCCTGAGTGTACAAACTCCTTGCACTTACTTAAAATTTAGGAGAGAAGATTTAACCCACTCAGGTATGACATTTTTCAGATTACTGAAATCCCTCTAGCAGAAATGTTTTAACATTATATTTTGAGAGCTTTGGGTGCTGAAGGGCCAAACGTTTTCTGGGCATTTTTTGGCCAGTTTTTAATGTTATACCGTTAATTTGACACTCACCAAATGTTTACAAATTTTCTTTGGGGAAGTACAACAACTACATAAACTATTTTAAGTCATAGTCATCGACGTTTATTAACATCTCAGTCATGCTCTTACACATTCGTTGGGTCCACTCCATAGGTGTTACATAGAAGTAGCAGGTTTCTTGTAAATTGGTTTGTTAGCTAGCACCATGTTTTGAGCACCTGCTATGTGTAACATGCCAAATTAGGTACTTCCTGCCATTGAAGGGCCAGGGATACGTTCACTCTTTATTATTATTCAAATGGCTTCCTTCATTGTAGTCACAGTTGACACAAAATGATAGAATATCCAACATGCCAAAAATGCTCATGCTAATTCAATGCCAGGAAAAAAAATGCCAGCATACTCCAAGTACTTTATTTTTGTGTTCTAGGTAGAACCTTCACTTTCAGTTGTATCTATGAAGATCCTATTTGCTTTTCAAACACTAGGGACCGATATCACTGTTGATGATCGTGCAGAGAAGCCTTCCCCATTCAGTGCATAATTCAGTCCTCTGTAAATGCCTTCATGTTTCCTGAGCAGAGTGTATGAGGTGTGTCATCTCCAAACCAGCTGCTGCCCTGTCTTTTTGATATGTTACTCCCCTTCACTGTGGCCTAGCTGATGTCTGATACGTATTGTCAGTGTGCACAGGCTTCACTCCCCAGTGTTGTGTTTATAACAGATCGAGCCTGAGAATGTCAGGAACACAGTCCCTGTGTAGGTGGGTGTTAACTGTAATCGTTACCCAGAGCCATGGGTTTTTTTAACCCCAAATTATCCACATGGTGTGTATTTTTAATTTTTCAAACTCTTTAGAATATGTTTTTGTGAAAAAGGGACTGTGAAATCCAAACCATGGGGCACTTGGGTACATTGGAGAGATTCTGTCAGTATTGTGATTCTGTACAGGATTTTTTAAAAAGACATCATTCATAAAACTACTTACTTTTTAAAAAGTATCAATATGCCTATTAACTGGTTGCCACTGTTACAAAAAGAAAATCTGTGTTTTGTTTGTATTAAAACACAAATACGAGAGTGTAATTTTTAAAATCTAGAAGGTTAGAGGTTCTTTTGCTGGAGAAAATTGATCAAACCATTCAGTCTTACTGGGATTTGTATGCATAGAAAGTGACATGTAAATATGAAATAAACAGTGCCAGTATTCATGGTAAAGGGAGAAACTGTAATGTTTGGTTTTATTTATTCTACTAGGCAATTTTTAAAGGTACCTTACTATTTTGTTCTTGTATTTTTGCTTCTTAATTTTTTTCAGAATTGTCATTTAATTCTAAAATTCTCATTTATTGAAGATGAAAATAGAATTTGAAGTTAGTTACGTTTGCATGTAAAATATGAAATGTACAAGTTAAAATTATTTTCCATGTTTTTTAACAAATAGAAGTAAATTTATTTCTCCTGCTTAAATCTTAATTTTCAGATTTTCTGGATACCTTACTTGTAACTTTCAGTATTGCACTGGTCAGTATGTGAAACATTGTTGTACCCTGCTACTTAACATTCATTTAAAAGTGAACTTAACAGTGATGAGGAATTTATGAAAAATACATTGTATTTCTTTTGGTGTTAGAAAAAGTTGCACATGTAAAACTGATTTGTTACAACATGCTACATGTCCAAAAAATAAAGAACTGAATGGCATTTTGACAATTTTTTGAGCTTGTCTTGCTTTATGAACTGAATGTTGTTTACTAGCGGAACAGGATCCTCTTCCTCCCTGTCCTGTCCACTTTTCTTTGTGCAGCTTGATGTGTTGATTGGTTTGTTAGTAAAACAGGAAATGTTGCTCAGGTAATGAATTACTGTCATCTTTTATTTCTAGAATATATTGAAAATATTCTGTCTTACTCACTGGAAAGGCAAGTTCACATGTGTCCTATTTCCTGATCCAAACCCCTTGTTTTTTACTGCACAAGAGCATATGAGACAAGTGAATACATCTACACATGATTGTGGATGTGAACTATATGACTATACTTTGACAAAAGCCCAGCTTTCCCCACCCTTTTGGTTGGAAGCAATGGAAAGCAATCCTCTACAGTCATAGTTTTGAATTTATCTTGCACCAGAAGTTATTTTTGGCAAAGTCTGGCTATCATGGGTCTATATTTACTTTCATAAAGTGTTTTTAAAAACCTCTCTCCATTTCTGCATTCCCAAAAGAATAGAACTAGATGTTAATTGTGTCATTCTGTGGCTGCATTTTTTATGAAGTTATGAAAATTGAAATTCTATAGAGAATTTGATTTGTGTTCTACAGTACCCTGGGGAGTTAATTTTACTTTATCATTTATATTTGGCTATGACTCAAGTGGCTGTCAACTGGAGGGGGACTTCTGATACTGTCTGGAGACATATCTGGTTGTTACAACTGGATGGAGATGGGGCATTTGCGTTAAATGGTGGGTGCAGTTCCTGGTCACAATCAAACATTCCACAATGCTCTGGACAGCCCCCCCCCCCCCCCAACAGAATTATCTGGTCCAAAATACCAGTAGTGCTAAAGCTTAGAAACTCTGATGCTGTCAATTATTTCATCTTCTATAGAACGTTATGAATCAAGCCCCTTATACTATATACCAGTAATCTTTGATGCCCAAATCAAGCATAATGCTCAAGTGTAGTAAATAAGTGCTCAGAAATATTCATCCTTTAAAAAGTTGAGCTGCTCATAGCCAACTTCTCCGGTATGTAATACACAAAGGACAGCCATGTTTTAAATGAGAATTAAAACAAGATTGAAGAACAGTATAATGCAGTATACATCTCTGGCCTGACATGGATGATTGTGTGCTTAGAGTACAACTGAAGATTGATACATGGAAAGAGCTAAAATACATGTATTTTTTTTCATAGCAGCACTTTTTTTTTTAATGAATGCATTTTTACATAGATACAACTTTAGGAATATAGTGGTTCTTTCCCCCATACCCCCCACCCCGCTCCCATCCCACCTCCCATTCTTTCTCCCATCTCCTTCATTACGTGTATTTGTATTTTGGTACATTAGTGTTCTACTAGGTAATCTAAGCTTCGCAAAGTAAACCTTACATTCATATCTCTTCTTTGAGAGTGGAAGCAACTTCGGATCTTTATACTGTTGTAACTGAAATGGATGAGCTGTTTATTGGGACCCAAGGTTGTATTCTCATGTATAAGTTGCTTAATCTTTTAATTTTTTTTTTATTTGACAGAGTTATAGACAGTGAGAGAGAGACAGAAAGGTCTTCCTTCCGTTGGTTCACTCCCCAAATGGCCGCCATGACCGGCGCTGTGCCGATCCGAAGCCAGGAGCCAGGTGCTTCCTCCTGGTCTCCCATGTGAGTGCAGGGCCCCAAGCACCTGGGCCATCCTCCACTGCCTTCCCGGGCCACAGCAGAGAGCTGGACTGGAAGAGGAGCAACCAGGACTAGAACCTGGCGCCCATATGGGATGCTGGCACCGCAGGTGTGGGATTAACCAACTGAGCCACAGCGCTGGCCCTAATCTTTTAATCAGTTACAGTGAAACAGTTCTTAAAGAGAAGTGGTCTTTGTTTTTAGAAGAGGTGTTTTGTTTTTAAGATTTATTTAAATGGCAGACATGGGGGGCGGTGAGTGAGCAAGCAAGCTTCCATCTGCTGGCTTACTCCCCAAATGGCTGAAATAGCCAGGAACTGCATCTGGGTCTCCCCTGTGGGTGTCAGGGGCCTAAGTAGCTGGGCCATCTTCCACTGCCTTCCCCGGTACATTAGAGGGAGCTGGATTGGATGGAAGTGGAGCAGCCAGGACTCGGACCAGCACTCATACAGGACCTAACACACTATGCCACAACATCAGGCCGAGGTGGTCGTTCTAATTTGCCTGAGTGCTAGGAGAAATTCCTATATTTGCATGAAGCATTAATTAAGCAAGATATATTTAGTGAGCTCTAAAAATTTTATTTTGACTTGTCTTTTCAGTAGGTTTTAGACATTTAGAAGATCATAGTCAAGAATGAAGGAAGAGACCTGGAGTGATGAGCAAATTTAAAAATAAATAAATTTCACTGATATTGGCCACTGATAAGGAGAATATCGTCCAACCAGGGAAGGTACTGGTTCATGGACTCTTTGGGGAACTTCACCCAGATCATAGGGCGCCTCTCCAGTCCATGTCGCTATGACTTCCATGGTCAAGGATGGCCTGTGTTTTCCAGAAAGGCCCCTCTGCTGTTTGACATGGAAGCGAATGATCGGGAGGAACCTTGCTGAGGGACCTTGTCACAGATGAAATTACCACAGTAAGTATACCAACACTTCAGTCACTTTGACACTTTAACTTGGTTGGAGAGACATCCAAAATGGGACCTTTTTAAAATATTGCCTTAGAGTAAATGGTCTTTTTAAACTTGTGGTATTTTAGATTTGGGCTTAATCCTCCATAAACCACAGAATGAAGACAAGAGGAAATGTTCTCAGAAATAGGATTTTCTGCTTGGAATGTGGATGTATTTGTGCTTCTTTGTATGAACATCAAATAACTTGCTTTGTCCCTATGAGGCCTGAGAAGTTTCTTTCATCTTTTCAACTTTGCCTTCGAAATTAATGTAGCAAAAATTGGAGATTGGGAGTAAAAAGTGTCAGACACAAATCTGGTTTGTTAGCTAGTGCTGAGTAATATAGTTCTAGAACTACTGGGTGTTTCTGGTTAGAAGGAAGTTTCTTTAGTTTGGTTAACATTTACCATGGATGTCAGCACATGCAGTCACCAAATCACAGTTAGGTTAGAACCTACAAACTGAGTTCTTGGTAACAGGAGCAGCGAGTGCTAGAAGGTTTAAAATAGATGTCATATGATACTACTTATAACTCAGGGAAATTTTACAGTCCTAGGAACCTGTACGGAGCATAAGCCAAAATGGAAGATGGTCCTGTTTTCTATGGCTTTAAAAACATTTTTCTTACAATGTTTGCTACCTTTTTTTTCTTCAAGCTTCTAATTAAAGTTTTTTTGGCTCTCCTCACCCATTTCTATATCGTCAAAGGAAATAGAAAAGAAGCGGCTAGGATAGCAGAAGAGATCTATGGTGGAATTTCAGGTAAAATACATGAATTTGCTCCCAATTCTTAAAAGAAAACCCTCCTAGATAATTCATAGGAATATTATTTCTAGAAGGCAGATTTTATTTAGACTTTGGTTTTTACTGGGTAGTTTTGAAAATGCTCTGTCATTTAAAGTGGCAAAGGGTGTTACCTGCACCAACTTGTGAAGGATTTTCAGCTTTCCTTTTTGCAAGTGAGTAGATCTATTAGCAGTCACTGTTTGAGAGGTACGTAGAGTAGTGGCTTTCTAAGACTGTTCTGAGAAATCTCATTTCTTCTGGCCCAAGGAATGACATATATAGCATTATTTTCTTTTCTTTCATATTTTAAACCAAACTTTTAATGATGAAGAGTATTGTAGCAAGAATACATTTCCTCAGGAAATAGTTATTGGTAAATTTGATCTAAAGCAGCAGACGTGGCATGCTATATATATATATTTTGTGCTGTCATTCGCAATTGGAATTAAGCACTGTCACTGTCAGAAAAAAACACCTCTAAGCCCATTTGCCAGTGACACCAGGCAAAACACTACAAACACAGGTTATTACAATATGAAATGCCCGGATTTGGATAAACATTTTAAAGTCTCATGCTTTGTAGAGCTTTGTCGCAGTTTCTTTCAGGAAAATGATTCGCTTTAATTGTACTGAGATTCTACAAAACTAACTGAATCAGATATCCCTATCACTGCTGAGATTGTCACTTTATTAAGTATTTATTCATAAACAGACTTCATAATTTCCTTATGTATTTTTAGTGTTCAGAGGAGTTCCAGGATTACATCATTCTTTATCTAGTATCCATTTCAATTTGCATCCAGGATTCTCTTTCAAAATAGACTTATGCTATGCGATTCCAATACACTAGAAGACTTGGAAGACACTAGATAGAGTGGTCTTACCCAAAGCAGTAAGACCTCCAAAGACAAAGCATCAGAATGCTTCAATTAACTGAGGGAAAAGAGAAGAATTTTGAAGTTTCAGAAAGTGTCAGAAGGCCAGGACTGTGGAAAGAGATTTCCTTTGGGGATTACATTTGTCACACATTTCAGGGAGGTATGTTACTTTGGCTGAAATAAATTAATGCTTCTCTTTAGTTTCACTTTAAGCATGATTTGAAAAGCTATTTTGTAATTTAACTTATAAATTTGGGCAGACGTTTCCTGAAATTTTCAGCAGTGGCTTTGATGTTCTCACAGATACATCATGCTCATGGGTTAAATTAATTAAAATCCAACAAAGTCAGTGTCAGCAAGGGTGTGTTATGAATGTTTTCTCCTGTCACTCCTGTGCATTATTTCTGTCTCTGTGGTCTTTTAGTACGCTCTTACAAAGGCTTTGTGATAGTCAAAATCCACATAAGTATGGTTTGAACTTAAGTCTAGAGCCAGAATACAAGTCTCTTAAATAGAATTCATTCATTCTTTTGCTCAAATGTTCATATCATTACTTGTGCAAGTTCCTAGGATAGTATTTGCTTAATCTGCAAGTAACATGGTGTTATAAGGTCAAGAACATTTTTGCAGTTACTGTTAATAAGAGTCAGGGATGAGAAAGTGTGTTAATTTCTCAGTTTAATTTCCTTCCTATGTATATATGTGTGTATACATATACATGCATCCCCACACCAGATTTGGCTAATGAGTCTTTCTATAATAATATGGTCAGAGCCAGTAGTTTTTATGCAATTGTAACAGTCATTTTGTCTTCTGAGACCGCTAGCAGTCGTATATTACATATTTAAAGCTAGATGTCTTAAAAATATCAAGAAAAATGTTGTGAAAGTGTTAAACAAGAAATAACTTTTACTGTTTATTGGTCAAACAAATGTTTGCTGGGAAAATAGGTGACATTTAATCAGTGAGTTAGTTCATTGACTTAGAAAATTCTCCGCCCAAGGTTAAATTCCTTGATTCTGCTAGCATACCCCATTCTTGTCAACATCGTCAGCAATGTCAAAAGCAAAGGGAGGGGAGTGAAAAGCTCAGCCAGGGCAGACTGTAGACTTTCGTGGGTCCCAGCGCTCTGGGAAGTGCCACCCAGCATCACATCATTTATTAAATATCAGGTTTTTGTAGATTCTTTTGGAAAGTTTTTTAAATTATTCTTGGAATTTCATCTAGAATACATTATTTGTTATTTCTTTGTGGTTTTGACTATTACATTTGTAGATAACTCATCAGAATTAAATTATGGCTGGTTTTCAAAAACTTGGTAATTCATGCATAATTTTTTTGAAGAGCCTTCATATAGACAACTTCAAAATTTCTTGTGCCCCAAAAATCTTGTGTTTTTTTTTTTTTTTTAAGATTTATTATTTGAAAGGTGGAGTTACAGAGGCAGAGAGAGAGAGAGTCCTCCATCCACCAGTCTACTCCCCCAGTGGCCACAACAGTTGGAGCTAGGCCTATCCAAAGCCAGGAGCCTGGAGCTTCTTGCAGGTGTCCCACATGGTTGCAGGGGCCCAAGGACTTGGGCCATCTTCCACTGCTTTCCCAGGGCATAGCAGAGAGCTGGATTGGAAGTGGAACAGCCGGGACTTGAACCAGTGCCCATATGGGTAGTCCATGCCACAGGATGGCTACGCCACGGCACCAACCCCACAACCTTCTTTTAATTCCACTTTCCCATAGACTTCATGTAATACCCTTGTAGCTCTGAATTTTCAATCTTCTCTGTGTATTTTGTCAAACATTTTGTGTGTGTGTGTGTGTGTGTGTGTGTGTGTGTCTTTGGCCCATGACATTGTTTCTAGAGCACCAGCTCCCACCTTTAGCTTGTCGATATTTCTGTAGGTACTATAGTTTACCTGAGACACATGTTTGTTGCATGATTTTTCAACCTTTGCTAATTTAATTACTAAGCTAGATTTAGTACCATGACATGGTCATCAAAGTTGGTGAAAGTAAAGTGTAGATATAATTTGGTAACCTGTTATGCACAGCCCTTGAGCCAGACATGCTTTTGAATTGAGGAGCTTTTGGATGTAGAAAGATTACACAGTATGCATGCTGTGTACCACGCAGCACTCCCACCGGGGCCGGAGCTGCCTTCCATAATCAAACATTTTGATCTTTCTTCAGCCTATATTTAAATATTCACACTAAGGGAAAATCCAACTAAAAAAGTTGCTTAACCTGAGTCCTGGCTACACTTCGCTGCCAAAGGAGTTTGCATGACACCTGAGGGAAAGCTTGGTTTTCAGAATTTGGGGGACATTGAATTGCAGATGAGAGGTTGCAAAACTATAGTATCCTGTTCTTCCAAATAATAGCTATTTTAAACTAAAAGGTTAGTTCTAAGTGTTAAGTTGGAAATCACTCGTCCTTGTTCTAAATTCAAGGGAGTGACCTTGATTTGACAGCATGTCTCTGCCTAACTCATCATCCTGACTCCTTTTTCTTGTCCTGTTAGACTAAGATTTTCCTGCCTTCGTTTCCATTCTTGCCCAGTGTCTACCTAGCCTCTGCTCTTATTTAGGTGTGCTGAATGTTTGCTCAAACCTTGGCCTGACCATCCCTTGAGTAACTGGTTATGTATCTAGGTGCCTGCTGTTCCCGAGTTGGAACAGCCAGTTCCTTGCCTTCCCACCTTCAGCTCAGCCTCCTTTCTCACACACTAGAGCAGGACATTGTATCTAACACAGTTCATTGACTGAGTTTCATGTCCTGACCAGAACTGGATGTTAGAGGATATAATTTTAACCCAGTCTTCTTATAATATGTTGGATATCCCAGTCAATTTGTTCTATTTTTCCCTTATTACCTTTAGTATACTTAAAACATTATGAATTCTTCTAGATTCTTGCTTACATTCTGGTTCAAAACTGAAGCTCTTTATGCATTTTGTGTTCTTTGATAAATGCTACCAGAGAAGTTGTTAGGATTTCAGAACTTGAATAAGAATAAAGATCATTCAATGTATACCAAGGATTATAACTAGTTAGGTGGTCTTTTGAAATAATCAGTAATCCCAAAGACTTGTTGAAATTAGAAGGCTCAAAATTGTAAAACAAAAAAAATTAAAAATTAATACTTGATTTTTCTCTTAACACTTGGGGTTTAGACAACCATATCCCATCTGAACCAGTTTTGTTGTTGAAATATATGGTTTGAGAAGTTGTTGTGAAATTGTTATTCAAAGAGTCTGAGAAGTAGAGATGAATGTAAAGGGGGAAAATGAAAAAGTTGAGCATTTTCCACACACCTAATCAGGATCAGGCAAACATATTTGTAGAGTAAAGCGTCTTCCTAGTGTGTTTGCAGCCCTGTGACACAGGCAGCATGCCAGGGAACTAAAAATACATTGCCTGGGGAGAGAGAGTGGCTTCTGCTTCTGCACTCACTATTCAGGGAGCTTACTTGCATGTTTCCTGAAAGGGATGGAAAAACTCCTGAACTGCCAAAAGAACTTGTCCCCTTCGCTTCTCACAATTAGCTCTGACTTACAAAATGAGAATATAAGAGGTGGAGACTGTGCTGGGAGCAAGAATAGAAAAGCCCGAGAGCCCTTCCGTGGTGAGGTTTCTGGAGGAGGGTTCTGCATGACCACCTCGGGAGATCCTGTGGGGCTGCAAAGAGAGTGATTTGATTTCCAGTTGGGAAACAAAGCTGCTTTTGCTTTCTACGGCTAAGGTATGGAGTTCTTTGTGCTGTTGAGAGATACAAAGCCCTAAGGTGAGCAAATCTACCACGGGGATGGGCAGAATGTAGAAAGCAACACATCTTCCAACCAGAATGAGGTGTGTTTTGGAGTTCCCCAGACTTGGGTTTCAGGCCTACTTCTGGCACTTGCCAGCCATGAAACCTGTTCATGTGGTACCCAGTGGTTGCCGTGCGTTCTGGGGTGTTCTCAGGAAGCAAGGCCCTTGCCTCCTCTCTTGGAAGCTGGGGAATGGGGCTCCAGGAAAAATACAAGCTTCTGTGAGGGGTGCCTGAGAGGAGGCACTCCCAGACAACTTAGAACTCAGGGAAGAGACAGCTGAAAGCAGAGGCCCCCGGAGCAAGACCAGGGCAACCCTTAGACCCGCCTCCTTGTTGCCATGGAAGATGGCGCCACACTCTGGTCACTGTGACTTCCGAAGCGTGAGGTAGGAGCTGGGGACGGGAGAGGTTGCTTCGTTGCTGGCCCACGGTAGGAAAGGTGCTTGGGAGTGACTCTGGTGACCCAGCATGAGGCCTGCCGTGGAGGCCGGGTGAGCAGGGCTGGCCTCGGGTTCCAGGTACCTGGGAAGCCATCTTCCCTGCCCTCAAGGCACCAGAGGACCTGGCGCCCAGAGGCAGGAGGCGGAGGCGGGTGGAGAACAAGCTGTTCCTCACCCCCAGCTGCCTGCTGGGCCCGGACGGGGAGAGGTGTGGGGCTGTGAGGAGGAGCAGTGGTTGCAGTTTGATTGGGAACTCTAGGCAAGAATGCCCCAAATCCAGAAAAGCGCATAAATGCTAAGTGAGCAGCTGGCTCGATTTTCGCAGTGAGCACAGTCAGGAAGCAGCACCCAAGAGCATGGCCCCCTCTGTGACCCCCTCCAGTCAGCTTCCGCCCCACCTCAGGTTGCTGCTGGCTCCTAACGCCGAAGGTGAGTTTGTCCTGTGTTCAGAGAAGCGGAAACACACGGTGTGTGTTCTGTGTCTCGTTTCTTTCATTCCTCCGCAGCACTAGGCTTGGGGGCTGTACCCATGTTGTTGTGTGCCCGGACCGGGTCTCCCTGGGCTGGCGAGCTGCAGAAAGTTACTGGCGAGTTGGAGAAAGGGCCAAGGTGTGGTTAAGGTTCGGCCCTCCCGCGGGGAAGGGAGTCGGCACAGCAGCCTTGCCGATGAGGTTTAGAAACCCTGGAGCTGCTTCATGTTGCTATCACATGTTAACTCTGCAGAGCAAATTACCACTTCAGTGTTGCTTTTATTCTTTTTTTTTTTTCTTTTGACAGGCAGAGTGGACAGTGAGAGAGAGAGACAGAGAGAAAGGTCTTCCTTTGCCGTTGGTTCACCCTCCAATGGCCGGTCGGTGCACCGCGCTGATCCGAAGGCAGGAGCCAGGTGCTTCTCCTGGTCTCCCATGGGGTGCAGGGCCCAAGCACCTGGGCCATCCTCCACTGCACTCCCGGGCCACAGCAGAGGGCTGGCCTGGAAGAGGGGCAGCCGGGACAGAATCCGGCGCCCCGACCGGGACTAGAACCCGGTGTGCCGGCGCCGCAAAGCGGAGGATTAGCCTAGTGAGCCGCGGCGCCGGCCTGCTTTTATTCTTGAATCGAATAGTCATACAGGTTGAGTATCGGGATACCCTTATCAGATTTCAGATCCTTGTGGATTTCGGACTGTTCGTATACACATAATGAGATAGCTTGGGACTGGGATGCCAGTCTGAACGTGAACTTCTCTCATGTTTCATACATACTTTATCCAGATAGCCTGAAGGTAAGTTTGTACAATATTTCTAAGAATGTTGTGCGTGGTGTGGAATTTACCACTTGTGGCATCTGGTCAGCTCTCTTTCAGATTGTAGATTTTAGATGACTTTGGATATCCGCTGCTTGACTTAGGGCTGCTGGGCCTGTGTTACGTTCAGGAGACTCAGGTCGGTCCCTTGCTGGTAGAGCAACAGGAGCAAAGCCACCCTGTCGATGTGCTTCTTCCATCCATCACGGTGCTGAGTTACTGCCAGTCGTGAGTAAAGACAGCTCCTAGCCTGCGTTCGCTGCCAAGACGATCGGGCAGGAGGGTAACGAGCCTCAAGCACACTGCATCTTGAATGGGATGGAGATGCACTAGAGGAAAACCAAGGCTGACTAATTGAGGGTTATATGCAAATATTATCTCATCATTGGCAGCTTACGCAAATTAAAAACATCCCAAGAGATTTAAAAATAGTCCACTCATCACTTTTTAACTGACTCGGGAACAAATGGAGATATAAACACAGTATATGTTCATGTGAAAAAGTTTTTTTTATTTGTTTTTCTTTGTTATAAAAGCATTACCGATTTGTATCAGGAGTAGGGAATCTCAAATGATTTCATCTATTTTTTTTTTTTTTACCTTTTATTTTGGAATTCGTTTCGACCAACAGAAAGGTTACAGGAATGGTACCAACAATTCCCAGTTCTCTTTGCTCAGTCACGTTTAGCCTAAACCCAGTCACGTTTAGCCTGCTGTCCTAATGACAGCCTTGATAGCAAAAGGATCTCATCGAGGCTCAGGTGTTGCCTTTAGATGCTGTGTCTTGCCAATCCCCTTCAACCTGGACCAGTTCCCCAGTGTTTCCTTGAACTGGCTACAGGCCAGTTATTTTGTACAATGGCTGGTGCACGGTGTCCTCATGATCACATTTAGGTTATGCATTTGGGGCAGGAATCTCACAGAAGCAGTGGCGTGTTCTTCTCACTGTGTTCCCTTTATTGGCACATAATGTCACTTGTGGCATTCATCAGATGACACACGGGGCCAAGTTGTTCCAGAATTGCTGATGTGAACTGTGATCACCTGGGTAAAGTGGTTTCTACCATCGTGTTCCACTGTAAAATTATCCCTGTTCCCCATATAACTAGTGATTTTCTGGGGAGATAAGCTGAGGCTAGCTCTACTATTTCTTCTACATTTCTTTCTTTTTTAAATTTTATTTGACAGGTACAGTTACAGAGAGAGAGAAGGAGATATCTCCCATATGCTGGTTCACTCCCCAAATGACCACATTAGCAGGGGTTGAGCCAGGCTGAAGCCAGGAGCTTCATCTGAATCTCCCATGGGGGTGCAGGGGCCCAAGGTCTTGGGTGATCCTCTAATGCTTTCTTAGGCCATTAGCAGGAAGGTGGCTCAGAAGTGGAGCAGCCAGGACTCGAACCAGTGCGCATAATGGGTGCTGGTGTCATAAGTGGTAGCTTAGCCCATTACACCACAACAGCTCTTATTTCTTCTACATTTCCAAGATGGCATTCCATTATGGGAAAGTGTTTTCTCTTCACTATGTTTAGACCTTTATTCATGTCACTGAGTAGAAGATGGCCCAAGTCCTTGGGCCCCTGCACCCACATGGGAGACCTAGAAGAAGCTCCTGGCTTTGGATTGGCGCAGATCTGGCCATTGCAGCCAATTGGGGAGTGAACCAGTGGATGGAAAACCTCTCTCTCTCTCTCTCTCTCTATCTCTGCGCCTCTCCTTCTCTCTCTGTGTAACTCTGACTTTCAAATAAATCTTTTAAAAAATATCAGTCCAATTCTTTGGAACTTATTCTAGCTTTTCTCATTTTGATAACCCAAATGGTTTCAGAGGTACAGTAAGTTCCAACATACAAAAAATGTTTATTGAAGTGTTTATAACCTTGTTTCTCTTCCTTGAGGCCTTGAATTATTTCACTTTCACACAATCCCATCTTCGGTGGTATTTTGTTATGCCAAATTTGCAGGTCTGGGAAACCAAAGTTTTCAGCACCATTAGACTCATCTAGAAGTGGTCGCTTCAGAGCAGTGCCTTGTGTTAAATCCAGACTGCATTATATTCTAGCCCATGTATGAAAAGCACAGCCATGATTTGGAAAATGTCCACATTTTGCAAACTAGAATAGATTTTCCTGCAAAACAACTGATTGCCCGTTGGCATGTTTAATAGAGGTTTACTTCTTAAATGCTCATTTTAAAAAAAGATTTATTTATTTGAAAGAGTTAAAGAGAAAGAAGGAAAGACAGGGAGAGAGAGTGTGGGGAGCAACTGGGAGCAACTCGGACTAGACTAAGTTACTGGAATTAAGACTTATTCTATGCATCTGCTCTCCCACAATATGGCGCTGGGAGAGGAGAAAACAGCTTCTACACAGCTGCCTCCAGTTCAACCAATAAACTGTAGGACCTGCTCCTGATTGGAGGAGAGCAGCGTACTCGGCGTGTGGGTAGCAGAGTTGGGATTGGTGGAAGAGGACTATAAAGGAGGAGAGAGACAACATGCACGAGAAACATCTAAGGGGAACATCTATCTGAAGGAACACCTGTGCAGCCCCCGAGAGAGCCAGCCGGTGGTGTGCCGCTCCCCTGTGGAAGTGGGGAAAGTGGCCAGGGGGAACCGCCCTTCCACGGAGGTGGAAGGGACAGTAGCCAACCCGGGAAGAACCAGCAGCAAACCCGGGAAGGGCCGAGCAGACAAAAGAACAACGCAGGGTCCTGTGTCGTTCCTCCACGAAGACGGGGAGCGACAAGAGAGAGAGGAAGAGAGAGAGGGGGAGATCTATTTTCCATCCACTGGTTTACTACCCAGATGTCCACAAAGGCCAGGGCTGGGGTAGGCCAAAGCCAGGAGCCCAGAGCTTCCTCCAGGTCTCACATGTCGGTGCAGGAGACTAAGAACTTGGGCCATCTTCTGCCACTTCCCAGGCCATTAGCAGGGAGCTGGATCAGAAGTGGAACAGCCAGGACACAAACAGGCACTCATATAGGATGCCAGTGCTGCAGGCAGCAGCTTAACCCGTTATGCTATGACATTGGCCCTTTAAATGCTCATTTAAGCTGGTTGTTCTTGGTTATAGATAAGCAATTATAAGAAAAAGACACTCGATGGTTGTTTCCAGGCTGTTCCTGGAGTACTGTCCTATCACGTCTCTACCCATGAATCATAAATGGTCTCACGCACCTGACATCGTGGATGGATTTTATTGGCCTACTTAGAGATGAAAGCACTTACCAAATACTAGACGGCCACATTCCCGTTCTCTAGATAAATACATTGAGGTTCAAATGAGTTGGACAGCTTGCTGATTTGAATGGAGTGTGTGGTCAAGGCGGGCCTTGAACCTAGACAGTCGGGCTCCACTGAGCTCATGCTCAGCCATCACACTAAACTTCCTACAACAAGGTGGCATAAGGAAAAATTTTGGAGGATTATGTCATCTGGAAACTGATATTTGCAGTACAGTAGATACAAGTCATTATGAGACAGTTCCCAAAGGAATTTCAGCAAAGACCATTTTCCTGGTCCCTCAGAGTCTCCTTCGTAGCACACAGGCTACTGAGCCTTTGCTGTGTGGGTGGGAGGCCAGGGAAGGATGAAAATGTGGCAGCTCATCGACCTGTTTTGTTCGTCCTTTTGCCTTACTTGGAGCTATTGGCATCACTGGGCACTATTTGGACTAAATCTATTGCTAAGTCAGATTGACTGCCCCTCTGCACATACCACCACACTAATGGACTTAGGTTCAGTAGCTTGTCACCCTGAAAGTGGCTGATGAGAGAGCCTCATGCAGGTACCTGTTTCTCTCCTCTTCCCCCAGCTTCTTCTCACAGTGGCTGGGGAGCAGGATGGGGCTGCAGGAAGAAGTGTCCAGACCTTGACCCTGAACTTGATTTGTGTTTCAGACTGCTGGGCTGATCGATCCCCACTTCATGAAGCTGCGGCCCAGGGGCGCTTACTGGCCCTTAAAACTTTAATTGCACAAGTAAGTAAACGGAAGACTTGACTCACGGTGCTTGTGCTGTAATGAAGCATCACTCTGTGTTGGTTGCGGGGGCAGCAGAGGTCTGGCTGGCCCCCTCTGTCTCCTAGCACTGCCGTTCTAGGCGTCTGCGTGCTCCTTTGCCTCGCTGTAGCTTTCTTCTCCCTCTCCTCCCCCAGCGCACTGCCTCATTTCCTACCCGCTCCCCTCCCTTCCTTTCTGGAGCTTCCTTCATGGGAAGTTTGCCTGGGAGGCTGGATGCACGATGCCCTGCAATGCATGTTGCACTAACTCCCGCAGTGTGTGTGAAGCCACGACAGTGCCGCAGCTGCACTCAGCAGCTGGCACTGCGTAACAGAGCCCTTCAAAGCGTAGTGGCTGAAAACAAGAAGCAGAGTCTCAAGGTTTGTGTGGGCTGAGCAGCAGCTTAGCTGGGTGGTGGCGGCTCAGCCACAGCTGCAGGCGTCTCACGACTCAAGTGCGCAAGGACCTCCTTTCCAACTCACTCAAGCGGTTGTTGGCAAACCCCGATTCCTGGCCACAGGGGCCTCTTCCAGAGCTGAGTCATGACAGGCAGCTGGCTTCCCCCAGAGAGAGTGCGAGAGAGGGTCTACGAAGGAAGTGACAGGTTTTGAAAAATCTGATCTCTGAAGCGGTGTCTCGTCACTTGTGCCGTGTTCTACCCACTCAATGTGAGTCAGTAAGTGCGGTTCACGCTGAAAGGGAAGGCAGTTTTCAAGAGAGCCCGAACCAGGAAGCAGGGGTCACTGGGTGCCATCTTGGAGGCTGCCGACCCCCATGATGCTCTAGTTCAAGCACAAGCGTTACAGTCGGTTAACACATGGATACATCTTACTCCTGGGGAAGATTTATGAAAGTCTTAGTTATTAAGGCTACTTTGTTTTTATGACTGTATCCTCAGCACCTTGGGCAAGGAGTGGTGGCCTGGTAAATATTTGTGAAATGGATGAAGGAAACTGTACACGCTCCATTTGCTTTGTTTACTTTAGAATCTACATGTGTACAGAGGAGGTGAGTCATTATGTCATTTTCTCACATTCTAGCTATCACCTGGCTTCCTTACCGTGTTGAATTGAAACAGCTGGGTGCCTTATCGTTTTGCACATGGCTGCTGCTTTTTTTTTTAAACTTTCTGCTCTATAGTTGGTCACTTCTTAAGAAAGTAGAGGCAAAAGGAAAACAATGATCAAATGGACTTTGCACCTGATTTTATCATTTGCTGATTTATTTTAAACACTTTGCATTTCATCTGATTTCATGACTTTTTAATATGTAACATATTCACCCAGTTCAAAAATCAAAATGTTACGAAAAAAGTACACAATGAAAAGTCTGGCACCTGCATCCTTCCTCTCAGCCTCCCACCTCGAGATTGGTTTTACAACTATTTTAAAATAAAGTTCTTGTTTCAGGACGATTTTAAAGTGCCGTTGCAAAGATAGTACAGGGAGTTCCCATGTAACCTATACCCAACTCCCCCTATGTTAGCTTCCTACAGAGCCATGGTGCATCAGTCAAAAGTTAAGAAGTTAGGCCGGCACCACGGCTCACTAGGCTAATCCTCCGCCTTATGGCACCAGCACACCGGGTTCTAGTCCCGGTCGGGGCGCTGGATTCTGTCCCGGTTGCCCCTCTTCCAGGCCAGCTCTCTGCTGTGGCCAGGGAGTGCAGTGGAGGATGGCCCAAGTACTTGAGCCCTGTACCCCATGGGAGACCAGGATAAGTACCTGGCTCCTGCCATCGGATCAGTGCGCTGCGCTGGCCGCGGCAGCCATTGGAGGGTGAACCAACGGTAAAGGAAGACCTTTCTCTCTGTCTCTCTCTCTCACTGTCCACTCTGCCTGTCAAAAAAAAAAAAAAAAAAAAAAGTAGGAAGTTAGCTCTAAGCTCTAACATTGGTGCAATACCATTAATTTCTCTGTGGGCTATTGGGATTTCACCCGTTTTCCCTCTGGTGTACTTTTCTGTCCCAAGGGCCAATCCAGGATGCTCATGTTGCATTTAGCCCTTCTTTATTCTTAGTTTTTCCGAAGCATGTTAGCTTCAACAGGGTGATGAAATGGAGCCGTCCTAACTTGCTCTTGCTCCTGGATGTCATGCCGCCCCGCTGTCACTGGCCCTACCTGGAATCTGAACTTTCTGTGTCTCCATCATCTCGTGCAATTGCAGTAACTGGCTTCGGATGACCTTGCAGGCCTGTCCAGCGTTACAGTCCTCCAAACTCCAAAGCTTCTGAGGTTCTGCCCCCATGCGAGTGTTTTCCTAAGCACACTCCTGCCACCTTGTGGACAAGCCTGTTGTTTATCTTGTTTTCTTAGAAGGCACACCTCCACAGGCAAAAGGAGCAGGAAAAGTCTTTCCTAGATATATTAGACACAGGATTTGCAATATGTAGCGCAGCTCTACAACCCAGACATCCTGCTCAGGAGATGCAAATGGGCAGGACACAGCAGGCACAGGCATCAGGACGAAGGGACAGACAGTGGCGGGGGTGGGTATCAGCTGCTGGCCACAGCCGAAGACCTGGCAGGGGACGGTGTGTATGTAGGTTAGGGTTTGGGGTTCAGGATCTTGGCACTTGGTTTTGGAAGCTTTCAGCAGCTCAGTTACAATGCAGGGAACCAAAAGCAGGGCTCATCCGGGAAGGACAGACCAGGGACCTAAATCCCTTTGTGGATAGAAAGAGGAAGAGTGGGGAAATGGTCAGAGCCAAGTTGTGAAAGTCAAGGTATGAAGCCAGAGTCGTCTAGCAGCTAGGCTGACCTCACCATCTGTCATGGCGTTCTGGGTGAGGAAGGCAGTACGGGGAGGGGGCACGTGCTAGGACAGTGCAGTGACGTTCATACCTGGGAAAAGACATGATGGGGTTCAGAGAAGCCGCGACTGTGATGAGTGGTCTGGTCGGTCACGTCCCAGGGCCGGGGCCAGCACGGCCATCCTGGCACCTCGGTCTACTTTGCTGTCTGCTCCCCAGTCAGCAGTCATCCTTCTGTTCCAGACCCGTGTCTACCTTCTCTTCTTCTCTGGCTCCGATGCTTATGCGTCATCTCACTGCTGTTCACACCCGCAGCAGCCCCCTTCCGGTCTGGCTGGGACTCATGGAGCCGTCTCCCCAGCTCTGCTTGCTTCTGTCTCACATTCTTGCCCCTGCAGTCAACGCTCCGGGCTGCGACCTGGGTGTCTCTCCTAAACCAGCACACCTGTTGGCTCCGGGCCCCTGGAAGCCTAACATGCACAGGGGCCTCATTCCCAGAAGACAAGCACTTTCTTTCTTCTTCGGCCCCCATTAGGACTCTGTCGGATCCACGCAGGCAGCTGGGGCCTGCAGCGGCGTGTTCCGTCCCCTTCTAATGGTCCACCCTTTCTTTGCCTTCCCGACCCGAAGCCTTTTATGCTTCAAGCTTTGGTTAAAGGCTAACTCATTTGTGACGTTTCTTGTGCCGCAAGCCAGATTCAAGAATCCACAGTGCTCCCACTTAAATTCGAATGTGCTTCTGGTATCCAGATCTTCTTGCTGTCTGCTTTCTTCATTGCTGCCTCCCTGCTTGGCCTTTGGAGAAGAGCGACTTGTGTCCTGCGTTTTGACAATCCAGGCCCTAGTACATAAGCCTGTGTTGCATAATGAATTTGAGGCTCCCACACTGTGTTTAGGCTCCCCCGGCAAGACCTCTCCTCCTGTCCCCCAGGCATGGAAAACCCCTCAAATATGCCGAACAGCACGGCTTTCACCGCTGTCCCAATGGCGGCGTTTAACCCTCTTCCTTCCAAATTGCAGGGCGTCAACGTCAACCTCGTGACAATTAACCGGGTCTCTTCCCTCCATGAGGCGTGTCTTGGCGGTCACGTGGCCTGTGCGAAAGCCTTATTGGAAAATGGTGCACACGTGAGTACCACCCCTGACCATTTGTGAACAAACTTTCAGTTCATCTTTATTGGAAATCATTGAAGAGAACAAGGTTGAAAGGAACCATAAGAAACACTCTTAATTCAACACCTAAACCAGCAACAATTTCTGTTGAGCAAAATTATCAAGTTCAGTGAGCTTTTAGTAAATAACACATTGAAAAAACTCAATCTTATTTTTAACTTCCGTGCTGACCTCTTCAAAGAGGGACTGAGGTGCTCCCTTACAGTACAGATATCAAAGTAAACTACAGAACCAACACCGCAAAATCCCAGTGACACTCATATTTCATTGCCAGATATTGCTCTGTTACTAATTCTGCCATTTAGTCCAGTCCTTGACTGCTTTGTTTTTATCAGATGCAGCGTCTTTAAGCACCTGATGGTTTCCTTTGCATTGGGTTCTGCGTGTGGAACTGAATGGAGAAATCTCCTTGCGCAAACTGATTTTCCTGACGTCACCGCGGTCAGGCGTTTGTCAGGTGGCGCTCCTCTGCTGGGGTTCCCTCTCGGCTCCTGGGTGACCGTGAGGGTGAGGCTGTGTGACGGCCACTTCCTGTCCATCTAGATGACTGCAGTCACAGGCAGATTGCTGGCAGGAAATGGGGAACAGTGGCGGGTCAGAGAGGAGGCGTTTTATTGGAGACGAAAAGAACGAGGTGTGTTCCCTGTCTGGCAGTTTTGTAAGGGAACATCCGATATGTTTGTATCGAACCACTTGATATTTCAACCAGAATGCTAAAAGGAGACAGAGAAAGCTGGTCAGTGAGTAGGCGGGTTCCCATAACTGGGAACCTCCTGGCACCTCAACCTCCACGCATCTGAAACTGTGCTTATCATGTTCTTCCCTGTGGGACCTGCTCCTCCTCTTGTTTTCTCACTCTCGGAGACTAGGTGAGACAGTCTCCTGGCCTCGCTGGCCCTCAGCCTGGGAGTCATCCTGTTTCTGCCATCTCTCCATCCAATAAATCACAACTCCATAAGCCTTTCTTACTGTGTCGAAATCACCTCTCTCTGTTTTGGCCTTACGTAACAGAATCCAACCTAACCTACGCAAGGAGAAGCGGTCATCTTGCCTTTGTTTTCCATGTAGTAGGTGCTCAATAAATGTTTGCTGAAATGAACAAGGAAAGAAATTGTTCTTGTCTGTCACTGCCATCTTTCCAATTTAGTGGAGGTTTTATTGGAACCCTGGAGACAATTTTTTTTTTGTTTCTGAAGGAAGAAAATTTATAATCCTGATTATCCTAAGCATCTGTCTTTAGTGGTTGAGGCAAAACCGTGTGACATAAAGCCCTTATTTCAAGCATATCAGAGCTGCCCCATCAGAATATCTTGGTCCCCTGATGTTCTCTCCAATCTGTTGCTGATGCCCCAAGATGCCTCCCATAACCCTGGAAGTTGCCGAGGATGGTTGGAGATACCGTGTTGATGGCTGCTTTCCATGTGCCTTTGAGTTGCATGATCTCTTTAGCAGTCACAGCTGGCATATGCAATTTATATGAATTATGGTAGACCGGATAAAAAACATATGGCAAGAAAGACATTAGGACTGTGTAGAGTTGCTGAGGAGATGTTCAGCCAGGGACCATAAGCGAGCTGAATCACGCAACTCCGTGTAAATGCAAAATGGCAATAATTGTTGTTGCAAATGTTAATTAAGTGCTCACTGGGCAATGTTCTAAGTGTTTAACATATAGTAACTCACTTGACGCACACAGTGACCTTGTGAGGCGTCATAATACTGTAACAAGGCAGAGTTTCCTCCCTCATTCACCAGGCCGATGCACAGGAATACACACGTGGAGATGGTGAGAATGGAATAGCAAATCCTCTGTGCCTCTCTTTGCCCATTACTAGGTCAATGGAGTGACGGTTCATGGAGCCACGCCCCTCTTCAACGCTTGTTGCAGTGGCAGTGCGGCATGTGTCAACGTGCTGCTGGAGTTCGGAGCCAAGGCCCAGCTCGAGCTGCACCTGGCTTCACCCATCCATGAGGCAGTGAAGAGAGGTAAATGAGCCGCCACGATGCACAGCAGGCACTATGGGCTCACTCCACTATGCTTGGATCAGACTAGCGTGAGTCCTGCCAGGGCTGCCCGGGTCCCCCTCACCCTTCCAGTACAATTGGCTTAGAAATCTCACAGTGGGGGCCTCCCCCTGTGGTGCCAGTTCATGTCCCAGCTGCTCCTCTTCCAATCCAGCTCCCTGCTACTGCGCCTGGGAAAGCAGAAGATGGCCCCAGTGCTAGAGCCCCTGCACCCACATGGGAGACCCAGAGGGAGCTCCTGGCTCCTGGCTTTGGATTGGCGCAGCTCCGGCCATTGCGGCCATTTAGGGAGTGAACCAGCAGAGGGAAGATTCTCTCCCCACCCCCATCCCTCTCTCTCTCTTCTCTATCCTTCTCTCTCCTCTCTGTAACTCTGCCTTTCAGATAAATAAATCAATCTTTTTTAAAAAAAAAAAAACCACAGCAATCATTTGAATTTGCCTCGATCTTATGAAACAGACCTTACAGCCTGGGAAGTCTTGAGTCTGAGATGTCCCACCGCCCAAGCAGTCTCTCAGCAGGCTTTCCTGAGCCTCGTCGCTGGTGTTTCAGTGGCAGCTGGTGCAGCCAAGGCAGTGATTGTGACTTCCATGCGTTGTGCTGTGCAGGTGTCTCCTTCCTTAGTACAGAAAAGCAGGGCATTCCCCCAAGCCCATAAAGCACCAGCCGCTAACATAGAATTAATTCATGAACGCGTCTGAGAGCCGAAGCTGATACTATCTCCGAATAGTAAAGATGAACTTCCCGACTTCTAGGTGGCAGTTATTAAAACAAAATTGCCAATTTAAAAAGGCACTGGAAACTAGACTCCCAGGTTGCTAGTTGGTTTAGAAAGGAAGGAAAAGAGTAAGTTTAAGGAATCTAAGAAGCATATGCATAGACAAGACAGGAACAAGATGCCTTTGCAAGGACAAGGTACAGCAGGTGTTTGGCGTAGCAGCTCCGATGCTGCTTAGAAAGCCCACGTCCCGTATGGGAGCGCCTGTGCTGCACCTCGGGCTCCACTCCTGACACCAGCTTCCTGCTAATGCAGACTCTTTGAGGCAGCAGGCGATGGCTCAAGTCATTGAATTCCTGCTTCCCATGTGGGAGACCTGGAATAAGTTTCAGGTTCCTGGCTCTGGCCCTGACCCAGAGCCAGTCACTGAGGTCATTTGGGGAGTGAGCCAGCAGATGGGAGCTCGCTCATTCTCTCTGCCTCCCAAATAAATAAAACAATTTTTTTCAAAGCTTTTTTTTTTTTTTAAGAGAGGACAATGCCGTTTGTCAAAGGTCAAACACAAAGAGCAACATTTTGGTGATAACTACAAGTGGAGTTGTTTTCTTATATCAAGATGAAAAATACACTGATCTTTGCTGGTGTAAGTGGGGATAAAGGTCTTTATTTCAAGAGGCAATAGGGAAAAATTCTCCCCAGGTTAATAAAGATGTTACTTGGTAAATTTTTTCCAGTAGATTACTTTAAATGCAACCAAAGACTCAAATTTCAATGTACTTATCTTTCATGTCCTAAATGTATTTATTGATTCATAATAGATATTGGTCATTTCCCAAACAAGTCCTTTAAGTTATAGAGTAATGAACTACTTTGGAAATGATATAAAAGTCTTTTTCAAATTTTAAATAATGATTTCAGTAAAACTTAATGCTATTTGCATTTCCACCCAAATGTTTAAAAATGGATAAATGTGAGGAACAGTTTGACTTACTTAAGTAATCCTGTAGTACTTGGATGACTATATGGAGCTTTTGGTATCTCTGTGCCTATAAAACATGCATGCTTATTAACTATAAACACAGTTTGTGCATGTCTACATTTTCTTCTGTGTTGTAAAATCATGTTAAGGACTAATATCCACAGAATGGAAGAATTATTAGCAATTCATTATTTTAACTACTGTTACATGAGGAGTTTTCAAAAGTTCATGGAAAAGGCATGTTATGAAAAAAAACTATGCCTGGATTTCAAAAGTTTTTGCATGAAAATAAATTTTTTACCTTGGTTTCCATGAACTTTGTGAAGTGCCCTTGTATTAGTACTAGCCACTTAACTTTCTTTGTTTTTTAAAAGATTTATTTATTTTACTTGAAAGTCAGAGTTACACAGAGAGAGAAAGAAAGGCAGAGAGAGAGAGAGAGGTCTTCCATCCGCTGGTTCACTCCCCAATTGGCCGCAATGGCTGGAGCTGCACCGATCTGAAGCCAGGAGCCAGGAGCTTCCCGGTCTCCCACATGGGTGCAGGGGCCCAAGGACTTGGGCCATCTTCTACTGCGTTCCCAGGCCATAGCAGAGAGCTGGATCAGAAGAGGAGCAGCTGGGTCTTGAACTGGCGCCCATATGGGATGCCAGTGCTTCAGGCCAGGGCTTTAACCCGCTGCACCACAGCTCTGGCCCCAGCCACTTAACTTTCATGGAGTTATTTTTAAAGCTTCATGAGAATGCTTAAATTTAGCTCAAATTAGTTTTTTCTTGTTAAAAAATACAACACTGTTTCAAAAATATTTATTACATGCTCCATATTTCTCAGGCAGTTTTCAGTACTGATTGGACATTACTTCTGAAATATTACAGTTTTTTTCTTTTCCACTGTATTTGAAAGGCTAAGAGACAGAGACAGACAAGAGGGACATCTTCCATCTGTTGGTTCACTCCCCAAATGACTGCAACAGCCTGGGCTGGGCCAGGGCAAAAGCAGGAGCCCACAACTCAATCTGGGACTCCCATGGGTGACCCAAGTACTTGAGCCATCACCCGCTGCCTCCCAGCGTGTGTGTGAGTAGGAAGCTGCATCGGGAGCACAGCCTGCACTCCAAGCCAGGCACTCAGACAGGAGCTGTGGGCGTCCCAAGCAGCATGCCCACCACTGCGCCAAATGCCGACCCCTGGGGTCTTAAGCTTGAAACCTCTGTGAGCAACCTGGGTCACGGTCCGAGTCAATACCTTGAGATATTGGTGCTATAATCCAGGTATACTATTTACTCAATGTGAAAAAATGATTAGAATCTACAAAATCCTGGGTTGTATGTTTTGATGCTTACTTACATTGAGAATTCATGATAAATCCTGTAGGCATAAGATGGAGCTTACTTTCATGTTATCTATACAGAAAATGTTTGTTAGATTTAAGGGAACATTTAAATCTTCCAAGCTCCCATCAATATCTCAGAGGCATTCCCTCCTGAACCAATCATTCATGTACAAAGGAGAATGTTTGCTAGCATAGTCCTTCTTAGCCACTCAATATGAACGCGTGTTTAAATATATTCTAAACCTAGCCATTTTAGTCATTCTTACATGTGGTCCAGGCTAACCAAAATAAGGTTGCAAGGCATACACCCGATCTCACATGCGTAGGGCAAGAAGAGAAGATGTTTGTAATGGACAGGAAAGGGGGCTGGGCCTTGATTTTGGGCACTGGGTTTTCAGGGTAATAATAGGGTGAATTGTTTCCACCTGTGGGTCCTATAGCCTCCATCTGTGAAGTGGTAGCTTCATTCTAGAAAGTGTTTTCAACTGTGCTCCTTGGAGCACGGAGTCGGAGTTCTCTCAGGAGCTGAACGAAGGTGTTCAAGTGGGAAAGTCACGGGCATGCTCCTCCTCTTAGTGATTTTTACTTTGGGGATTTCTACCTAAGCATTCCAAAAGAAAACAAGAAACAACTTTTTCCGACTACAAAAAGAGATTTGGGTATTTTTAAAGCTCGTTTCAGATAAGCAGCCCTGTAGTTCTATGAAAACCCAATGTGTGCCTTCCTTGAATGAGATTATTTTCTGTCCTATCAGGTCACAGAGAGTGCATGGAGATTCTGCTGGCAAATAATGTTAACATTGACCAAGAGGTGCCTCAGCTGGGAACACCCCTGTATGTAGCCTGCACTTACCAGAGGGTAGACTGTGTGAAGAAGCTTCTGGAATTAGGTAATTTCCACAGCCTCTTCATGAGAAGAACTTGCTAGCCGTCTTGGTTGTCTTTGGCTTCAAAGATGAAGTTCTTGTTGGGCTGGAAAAATTCTGATAGCATTTATTGGTTGAGCACTGGCAACAGAACTTGTGCAGAGAAATGAGTACTTTTAATTTTCAGTCCTGCTTCCTTTGATGTTGGCTCCATTTACCTGCTGTGGCTGTCCGTAGTAGTCTCAGGATGACTGTCAGCCACACCTGTGCTTGTAACCCTCCTCATCCATACATAACAGCATTGGCTCTTTTTGAGTCACGTGCCCACCTATGACCCAATCACATTGGCCAAGGGAATACAGTACACTGATTGGCTTAGGCCTGCATTCTGTCTTCCCTGAAGTCATCAGGCATCTCTAGTAACACACGACTGAGACTCCTAAGAGGGCGGTTCCTGGGAGAGAAATATAGGTGTGATTACCAGGAAGATGCCAGATGGTAAAAACAACAGACATTTGCCTCCAGCTTTTTACACCTGTCCTGCTACGTTATTTTGTCATATTTTAATTCTAAAAGGCACAGATAGAAACCAAGAGTCCAGGAAAGGTAAACTGTCTTGAAATTATTATTTGGTAAAAGAATCAGCAATCTTAGCTACTGCCATAAAAGTGGAGGTTGTAGTAAGAATCTTTAGTTCAGAATTCTTATCTCCAAGAAGGTTTTTATCTTTCCTATTCCCTTTCATTTACTGTTCTCTATAAGTTCAAAAATCTTTTTGAGGGGCCAGCATTGTGGTGTAGTGGGTAAAGCATCTGCCTACAATGCTGGCATCCCATATGGGTGCCAGTTCGTGTCCTGGCTGCTCCACTTCTGATCCAGCTCCCTGCTAATGGCCTGGGAAAGCAGCCTAGGATGGCCCAAATGTTTGGGCCCCTGAACCCACGTGGGAGACCCAGATGAGGCTCTTGGCTTTAGCCTGGCCCAGCCCTGGCTGGGGAGTGAACTAATTGAATGGAAGATTTCTCTGTCTCTGTCTCTCCCCCTCTCTCTGGAACTCTGACTTTCAAATAAATAAATAAATACATCCTAAAAAATCTTTTTGAGCCCAAATAATATAAATACTAAATAAATTTAGCTTTATCTTTTGCCCCCAAAATCCAAAATAATGACGTAACAGGAGCTTCAGATATTTTATTTTGTGTGCCATACAATACATATGGGAAAGCAGTAATTAAAATGATTAAAGATGTCTAACTTCACTTTTCTCACCAAAACATTTTGAGACAGTCTTAGTAGGCTTAAACAATATATTTTCTAAGATTTGTCAAATATGAGGGTACATCAAAAAGTCCAAGAAAATGCAATGAAAGAATAAGCTGGTGCAAAAAAAGATTTCAAACCATGCGTAGTTTTTTTTTCATGATTTGCATTTGCCATGTTTTTTTTTTAAAGATTTATTTATTTATATGAAAGAGTTACACACACACAGAGAGAGAGAGAGAGAGAGAGAGAGAGAGGGAGAGGTCTTCCATCTGCTGGTTCACTCCCCAGTTGGCTGCAATGGCTGGAGCTGCGCTGATCTGAAACCAGGAGCCAGGAGCTTCTTCCAGGTCTCCCAAGTGGGTGCAGGGGCCCAAGAACTTGGGCCATCCTCCACTGCTTTCCCAGGCCACAGCAGAGAGCTAGACTGCAAGTGGAGCAGCTGGGACTCGATCTGGCACCCATATGAGATGCTGGTGCTGCAGGCGGCGGCTTTACCCGCTACGGCACTGTGCCCGCCCCTTGCCATGATTTTTTGAAGACCTCTCCTGTGCATGAGTTTAAAATTTTTTTGCACCAATAAACTCATCTTTCAATCCCATTTTTCATGAACTTAAAAAAAACATATTGGCAGTTAAGATGTCTTAATGTATGATAACTATGTTTTAGGCTCATTGTGTTTTACATTACCACTTGGTGTTGAATTATGGCTGTCTGCTTTATTTAAGGAGCCAGTGTTGACCATGGCCAATGGCTGGACACGCCCCTCCATGCTGCGGCACGGCAGTCCAATGTGGAGGTCATCCACCTGCTAACTGACTACGGGGCTAATGTGAAACTCAGAAACGCACAGGGCAACAGTGCACTCGATCTGGCAGCTCCAAAAAGCGGTGTGGAGCAGGCACTCCTGCTCCGTGAAGGTAAGAAGCGCTCTTGCGCCTGCATCTCTTCCGTAAGTACACTGCCAGCTCCCTCCTGTCTCATCCTAAGGTCTTCCTTTTCTCTTTTACACGGGGTGGTTGCTATCGTAGGAAGTGGCTAGTCGTGACGTCACTGAGATATCTTCTAGGAGATGGCATGCTGTGGTTATTCACTTATAACTAAAGGGCGTTCGCGTACACTGGATTGTAGCTGTGTGCTTTCCTTAATGGGGAGATAATCACACACCTTGGTTTCCCCCTGACGAGGGTGAACGGCCATGTCTATTCTGGCCTAAGCACATGAATGAGCAAACCATAACTCTTCTTCACAAAGCTGGGAGGTAATGGACAGAGTACGCGTAAGGAAACACCAGGGAATTTGTAGAAAAATGGAATGGAGAGATAAGGATGTGTTGGTGCAAAAAAAAAATTGAAATTCATGCATGTGAGAGATCTTCAAAAACTTCATGGAAATTGCATTTTATGAAAAAATTATGCATGGACTTCCAACTTTTTTGCACCAAAATAAACTTACTTTTTCATTCACTTTTTCCCTGGACTTTTTTGAAATTCCCTTATAGCTTAGAAATACAACCAAATGGGGGAGATTGCTTGCTTGTTCTTCAGATCCAAGAGGAGGTTGGTCTGCATTCTGCATTGCCTCACTCCCATGTCCACCATGGGCAGTAAGAGCACCTGTAGGTGCCAGAGGAGAAACATGGAGCTTCCAAAGTTTCATATCCCAAATTCAGAAGAGAACCATGTCATATCCATACAGTAAGAGGTTTTCTGGGCACACACTGATCATTTGTGTGCTCAGGAGAGGATCAGAGATAATTAGTCAGCTTTCCATGTGCCAGGCACTGAGTGAGATTTGAAACAGAGTAATCTCACTGCATTCCTAAATTTTATAGTAGCTGGTGTTTATGCCAGCCCCAAAAGGGAAAAGTGAAGCATTCTGGCTTGCTGAGGATCACAGAGCAACTAAGAAGTACCCGTAGGAGTCTAACCAAGCCCTCTAACCCCAGCACTTGCGCTTTCACTATGATGGGGTCCCAGTCCTGAGCCTTCTGAAGCGACTTCTGCTGGGGAGGAGGGTCATTGCCCTCCCGGTTTCATTTTGTGAAACCACCTCCTACCCCCATCTTCCACAGCTTCCATCCACTGGTTCACTCCCCACATGACCACAACAGCCGGAGCTGAGCCGATCTGACGCCAGGAGCCAGGAACTTCTTCTGCATCTCCAATACGGTGCAGTGGCCCAAGGACTTGGGCCATCTTCTACTGCTTTCCCAGGCCATAGCAG